CCGTATGGTACAGCTATCTGTATGTCTGTATAGTTGTATGTCTGTATGTCTGTATAGCTGTATGTCTGTATGGCTGTACGGCTGTGTGGCTGTGTGGCTGTATGTCTGTATGGCTGTATAGCTGTATAGCTGTATGGCTGTATGGTTGTATGTCTGTATAGTTGTATGTCTGTATGTCTGTATAGCTGTATGTCTGTATGGCTGTATGGCTGTGTGGCTGTGTGGCTGTATGTCTGTATGGCTGTATAGCTGTATAGCTGTATGGCTGTATGGTTGTATGTCTGTATAGTTGTATGTCTGTATGTCTGTATAGCTGTATGTCTGTATGGCTGTATGGCTGTGTGGCTGTGTGGCTGTATGTCTGTATGGCTGTATAGCTGTATGTCTGTATAGTTGTATGTCTGTATGTCTGTATAGTTGTATGTCTGTATGTCTGTATAGCTGTATGTCTGTATAGCTGTATGTCTGTATGTCTGTATGTCTGTATAGCTGTATGTCTGTATGGCTGTATGGCTGTGTGGCTGTGTGGCTGTATGTCTGTATGGCTGTATGGGTGTATGGCTGTGTGGCTGTATGGTTGTATGGCCGTATAGCTGTATTGCTGTATGGCTGTTTGACTGTATGGCTGTATAGCTGTATAGCTGTATGGCTGTATGGTTGTATGGCCGTCTAGCTGTATTGCTGTATGGCTGTTTGACTGTATGGCTGTGTGGCTGTGTGGCTGTATGTCTGTATGGCTGTATAGCTGTATAGCTGTATGGCTGTATGGTTGTATGGCCGTATAGCTGTATTGCTGTATGGCTGTTTGACTGTATGGCGGTATGGTACAGCTACCTGTATGTCTGTATGTCTGTATGGCTATATGGCTGTATGGCCGTATGGTACAGCTGTCGGTATGGCTGTATGGTTCTACATTAGTGGCAGCATGACAGCCTGTCCAGATACATACATACATATATACTCTCAAAGTCAACCTTTTAAAAGAAACCAACCTAGAAACATTTTATCGATTAAGTTTAATTTTTTAGAGGAATATTTGAGTGGTGATGGGAGAGTAGGATGTTGGCGCGGCCAATGTGATGCTGCAAGCACATCCGATGGATTTATTTCTCCGTGTTCCGTGCAAGCATAATGTGATTGGAAATAGCACAAGTAGCTGAGATAAAGAGAAGCGTCTAGACAGACTTTATTTATTTCAATAAAATGATTGGAGACAGTGAGAGCATCCATAACGCACTGACTATAGACGCTTTCAGTAAACTTTATTCAATTATATTGATTCATGTTTCGATATTTCAGTAACTGAATCTTGTCACGGTGATTTGTGCACGCCAGCCGTATGCTTTCCAATAACACGGTTAATATAATTTCCATTTGACTTCCCATGCACTCAGTCTGAAACTGATAAAGATGTACCTGCCGCTCTCTGCTTCCCTGTCAGATAATGATGCTACAGAATGCAGGACCTGAACGGACACTGGCCTACTGTATTAATGCTACCTGTCCCTAGCCATGTCTGTCGCCCTAGGTTGCCAGTGTGTTTCTCATTCTGGGTACATTAAATCTAGGAATGGAAATACGCAACATCACTTATGGACTCGTGAGCGTTCCATTAGAAAGACTCGTATCACCTATAGCGGATGCACATGGCACACAATGGCATGGCAGCTTAAGATTAAAAATGCAAATCACTTAATCATAAACTGCTGACTTGTTCACGTAATTTCTGCGTCCTTTCTACATCTTCAAGCTCCCCAATCTCCCGTCTCCCCCTCCCCAGTTCCACATCTCACCCCACCCCTCGTCTCCTTTCTCCCGTGTCACCATCCCCAGTCTCCCCTTTCCCCTCCCAAATTTCACCTCACACCTTCCCCTGTCTCCCCTCACATTCAACCCCAGTCTCACCTCACACCCTCCTCAATCTCCTCTCACACCTCCCAAATTTCACCTCACACCTTCCCCAGTCTCCCCTCACATTCAACCCCAGTCTCACCTCACACCCTCCCCAGTTTCACCTCACACCCTCCCCAGTTTCCCCTCACACCCTCCCCAGTCTCCCCTCTCCACCTCCCCAGTCTCCCCTCACATCATCCCCAGTCTCCCTTAACACCCTCCCCAGTTTCCCCTCCCCCTCCCCAGCTTCCCTCTTATCCTCCCCCAGTCTCCCTTAACACCCTCCCCAGTTTCCCCTTCCCCTCCCTAGTTTCCCTCTCATCCTCCCCCAGTCTCCCATGTCACCTTCTCCTAGTATCCGGTATCACCTCCCCCAGTCTCCCTTCACACCCTCCCAAGTCTCCCCTGACGCCCTCCCCAGTCTCCCCTCTCCACCTCCCCAGTTTCCCCTCCCCCTCCCCAGCTTCCCTCTTATCCTCCCCCAGTCTCCCTTAACACCCTCCCCAGTTTCCCCTTACCCTCCCCAGTTTCCCTCTCATCCTCCCCCAGTCTCCCATGTCACCTTCTCCTAGTATCCGGTATCACCTCCCCCAGTCTCCCTTCACGCCCTCCAAAGTCTCCCCTGACGCCCTCCCCAGTCTCCCCTTTCCACCTCCCCAGTTCCCCCCCCCCCCCCCCCCCCCCCCCCCAGCTTCCCTCTCATCCTCCCCCAGTCTCCCATGTCACCTTCCCTTAGTATCCGTTTTCACCTCCCCCAGTCTCCCCTCTCGCCCTAGCCCCCAGTCTTCCGTGGAATCCCTCACAGTGATTTTGGCATCTAAAACTTTCCTCACAGGCTCTCATGTTCTTCTCTATGTTAATATATTTCTCAGAAAAATCGCATTTGACGCCTTGGCGATAAATGGTGTCTTGGTTAGAAGTGACACATAATGATTCAATATGAAACACGGCTGAATAACCGACCAACTTCCTTGCTGCAAGACGCAAAATAAGAGCGCCGCGCTCGGCGAATGAAGTAAATTAGCCACAGATGACGAACAGGGCTCACATGGACAATGCAGGACACAAGCGGCTGGCGCGGAGACGTAACCTGGCAATTATCACGTCACTGCGTTTCGTCAGCGGACACGCGAACACACAAATGGCGAGCGCAGCCTCTTTAAAAGTCGCTAACGAACAATCAACGTAATTTCAATCTCTATAGCAAAGCATGATTTGTCAAACACTTCATGTCATATTTTGATTTCGAGTTTAGATCGCCATGTGTAAGATTCGTTAGACCTTTTCTAGGCAGACAATTACATGACGGAACAAGTGTCTCCTAAAGGCGCTTGTTTCACGCATTCTACTGAAGGAAAGGATAGCTTTGCAAATTACTTTGCAACATACAGTATGAAAAGAGTAGAGCAGACACAGATTATAAGTAATTTTCAACGCACGCACGCACGCACGCAAGCACGCACGCACGCACGCACGCACGCACGCACACAAATATATATACATATATATATTTTCTCCCCGTCTCTCCCCAGGGTCCTACTTTGTCTGGACCAATCAGATGACACGTTAGCTTAATTACCACCGCTCTTTTTTCTGCCAATATTTGCCAATCGTTTGTATAATTGGCTCATATTTAAAATGTACAATGGCAGTGATATTGATGAGACGAGCATTGTGATCGGATGTATGTGTGTAAATTAGCTGAGGCTATCTCGTGGCCATATGCCCCCCCATAATAATCGACATGTCCGACGTCAGATCCGGCAGCTGTCCATCACCTCCCATACAACATCCCGCAGAATTCCCCCACCCCTGCATCACCACGGAAGTACGTCTCATTGTTAATGTCAATATTGGTTCTTCATGTTGCAACGATGCATTTCTAACGCCATTCAGCATCGTGTTTGTTTCATGTCAACTTCGTCGTCAATGGTAGAAATGAAACCGTGCATTATTCACATAGTAGACATACCCGTAACATGTTTGGATACACATGCTATGCAAGGTAATACATACAGAGTATCCCACTGAAGACAAATGAGTTTTAGTCTGCATGTAACGTTAAGCAATCGATAAAACTGACGAAATGATGATTGTCTAAAATACCAACTGATAATTTTAATAGTTCTGGCGAGGAACATGACATTGAAATAACTCTATTTATGTGTACGTTCGTGAAGTACTTACACATCACCTGTGTGTTCATCAATAGTGTTTACACCTAACCTGTGTTCATCAATAGTGTTTACACATAGCCTGTGTGTTCATCAATAGTGTTTACGCCTAACCTGTGTTCATCAATAGTGTTTACACATAGCATGTGTGTTCATCAATAATGTTTACAACTAACCTGTGTGTTTATCAATAGTGTTTACACCTAACATGTGTTCATCAAAAGTGTTTACACATACATGTGTATTCATCAATAATGTTTACAACTAACCCGTGTGTTCATCAATAGTGTTTGCATTTAACCTGTGTGTTCATCAATGGTGTTCACACCTAACCTGTGTGTTCATCAACGATGTTTACATCTAACCCCTGTCCCCATCAATGGTGTTTACACTTAACCTGTGTGTTCATCAACGATGTTTACATCTAACCCCTGTCCCCATCAATGGTGTTTACACTTAACCTGTGTGTTCATCAACGATGTTTACATCTAACCTATGTGTTCATCAATAGTCTGTACTCCGAACCTGTGTGTTCATCAATGGTGTTTACATCTAACCTGTGTGTAAATCAATAATGTTTAAACCTAACCTCTGTCTTCATCAATAGTGTTTACATCTAAACTGTGTGTTCATCAATGGTGTTTACACTTAACCTGTGTGTTCATCAACGATGTTTACATCTAACCTGTGTGTTCATCAATAGTCTTTACATCTAACCTATGTGTTCATCAATGGTGTTTACATCTAACCTGTGTGTAAATCAATAATGTTAACACCTAACCTCTGTCTTCATCAATAGTGTTTACATCTAACCTGTGTGTTCATCAAAAGTGTTTAAACCTAACCTGTGTTCATCAATAGTGTTTACAACTTATCTCTGTGTGTTTATCAAGTTCTTTTACACCTAGTCTGTTTGTTTCACACCAATAAGGTTCACACCTCACACCTGCCACGTGCTGGACCAAGAGAGTGGACACCTGCCCCGTAATGGACCCAGAAAGTGGACACCTGCCCCGTGATGGACCCACAGAGTGGACACTTGCCATGTGATGGACCCAGAGACTGGACACCTGCCCCGTGGTAGACCCAGAGAGTGGACACCTGCCCCGTGATGAACCCAGAAGGTGGCCGCCTGCCCTGTGGTAGACCCAGAGGGTGGACACCTGCCCTTTGGTAGACCCAGAGGGTGGACACTTGCCCTGTGATGGACCCAGAGGGTGGCCGCCTGCCCTGTGGTAGACCCAGAGGGTGGACACCTGCCCTTTGGTAGACCCAGAGGGTGGACACCTGCCCCGTGATGAACCCAGAGAATGGACACTTGCCCTGTGGTAGACCCAGAGGGGTGGACACCTGCCCTGTGGTAGACCCAGAGAGTGGACACTTGCCCTATGGGAGACCCAGAGGGTGGACACTTGCCCTGTGGTAGACCCAGAGAGTGGACACTTGCCCTGTGGGAGACCCAGAGGGTGGACACCTTTCCTGTGGTAGACCCAGAGAGTGGACACTTGCCCTGTGGTAGACCGAGAGAGTGGACACCTGCCCCTTGATGAACCAAGAGGGTGGACACCTGCCCTGTGGTAGACCCAGAGAGTGGACACTTGCCCCGTGGTAGACCCAGAGAGTGGACACTTGCCCCGTAATGGACCCAGAGAGTGGACACCTGCCCCGTGATGGACCCAGAGAGTGGACACCTGTCCCATGATGAACCCAGAGAGTGAACACCTACCCTTTGGTAGACCCAGAGGGTGGACACCTGCCCCGTGATGGACCCAGAGAATTGACACTTGCCCTGTAGTAGACCCAGAGGGGTGGACACCTGCCCTGTGGTAGACCCAGATGGTGGACACCTGCCCCGTGATGAACCCAGGGGGTGGACACCTGCCCTGTGGTAGACCCAGAGGGTGGACGCCTGCCCTGTGGTAGACCCAGATGGTGGACACCTGCCCCGTGATGAACCCAGAGGGTGGACACCTGTCCCGTGATGGACCCAGAGAGTGAACACATACTCTGTGGTAGACCAAGAGAGTGGACACCTGCCCTGTGCGAGAGCCAGAGAGTGGACACCTGCCCCGTGGTAGACTCAGAGAGTGGACATCTGGCCCATGATGGACCCAGAGAGTGAACACCTACCCTTTGGTAGACCCAGTGGGTGGACACCTGCATCATGATGGACCCATAGAATTGACACTTTCCCTGTAGTAGACCCAGAGGGGTGGACACCTGCCCTGTGGTAGACCCAGATGGTGGACACCTGCCCCATGATGAACCCAGAGAATGGACACTTGCCCTGTGGTAGACCCAGAGGGTGGACACCTGCCCTGTGGTAGACCCAGATGGTGGACACTTGTCCTGTGGTAGACCCAGAGAGTGGACACTTGCCCTGTGGAAGACCCAGAGAGTGGACACGAGCCCCGTGATGAACCCAGAGGGTGGACACCTGCCCTGTGGTAGACCCAGAGAGTGGACACTTGCCCTGTGGTAGACCTAGAGAGTGGACACTTGCCCTGTGGTAGACCCAGAGGGTGGACACTTGCCCTGTGGTAGACCCAGAGAGTGGACACTTGCCCTGTGGAAGACCCAGAGAGTGGACACGAGCCCCGTGATGAACCCAGAGGGTGGACACCTGCCCTGTGGTAGACCCATAGAGTGGACACTTGCCCTGTGGTAGACCCAGAAAATGGACACCTGCCCCGTAATGGACCCAGAGAGTGGACACCTGCCCCGTGATGGACCCGGAGAGTGGATACTTGCCCCGTGATGAACCCAGAGAGTGGACACCTGCCCTGTGGTAGACCCATAGAGTGGACACTTGCCCTGTGGTAGACCCAGAAAATGGACACCTGCCCCGTAATGGACCCAGAGAGTGGACACCTGCCCCGTGATGGACCCGGAGAGTGGATACTTGCCCCGTGATGAACCCAGAGAGTGGACACCTGCCCTGTGGTAGACCCAGAGAGTGGACACTTGCCCTGTGGTAGACCCAGAGAGTGGACACTTGCCCTGTGGTAGACCAAGAGAGTGGACACTTGCCCTGTGGTAGACCAAGAGAGCGGACACTTGCCCTGTGGTAGACCCAGATAGTGGACACTTGCCCCGTGATGAACCCAGAGGGTGGACACCTGTTCGTGGTAGACCCAGAGAGTGGACACTTGGCCTGTGGGAGACCCAGAGGGTGGACACCTGTCCTGTGGTAGACCTAGAGAGTAGACACCTGCCCTGTGGTAGACCCAGAGAGTGGACACCTGCCCTGTGGTAGACCAAGAGAGTCGACACTTGCCCTGTGGTAGACCAAGAGAGTGGACACTTGCCCTGTGGTAGACCCAGATAGTGGACACCAGCCCCGTGATGAACCCAGAGAGTGGACACCTGCCCTGTGGTAGACCCAGAGAGTGGACACTTGGCCTGTAGGAGACCGAGAGGGTGGACACCTGTCCTGTGGTAGACCTAGAGAGTGGACACCTGCCCTGTGGTAGACCGAGAGAGTGGACACTTGCCCTGTGGTAGACCCAGAGAGTGGACACTTGCCCTGTGGTAGACCCAGAGAGCGGACACTTGCCCTGTGGTAGACCCAAAGAGTGGACACTTGCCCTGTGGTAGACCCAGAGAGTGGACACTTGGCCTGTGGGAGACCCAGAGGGTGGACACCTGTCCTGTGGTAGACCCATAGAGTGGACACTTGCCCTGTGGTAGACCGAGAGAGCGGACACCTGCCCCGTGATGAACCAAGAGGGTGGACACCTGTCCCACGATGAACCCAGAGAGTGAACACCTACCCTTTGGTAGACCCAGAGGGTGGAGACACGCCTTGTGATGGACCCAGAGAATGGACACCTGTCCCGTAATGGACCCGGAGGGTGGACACCTGCCCCGTGATGGACCCAGAGAGTGGACACTTGCCCCGTGATGAACCCAGAGAGTGGACACCTGCCCTGTGGTAGACCGAGAGAGTGGACACTTGCCCTGTCGTAGACCCAGAGAGTGGACACTTGCCCTGTGGTAGACCAAGAGAGTGGACACTTGCCCTGTGGTAGACCCAGAGGGTGGACACTTGCCCCATAATGGACCCAGAGAGTGGACACCTGCCCTGTGATGGACCAAGAGAGTGGACACCTGTCCCGTGATGGACCCAGAGAGTGAACACCTGTCCCATGATGAACCCGGAGAGTGGACACCTGCCCCGTGATGGACCCAGAGAGTGGACACCTGTCCCATGATGAACCCAGAGAGTGGACACCTGTCCCATGATGAACCCAGAGAGTGAACACCTACCCTTTGGTAGACCCAGAGAGTGGACACCTGCCCCGTGATGGACCCAGAGAGTGGACACCTGCCCCGTGATGGACCCAGAGAGTGGACACCTGCCCTGTGATTGACCCAGAGAGTGGACACTTGCCATGTGATGGACCCAGAGAGTGGACACTTGCCATGTGATGGACCCAGAGACTGGACACCTGCCCCGTGGTAGACCCAGAGACTGGACACCTGCCCCGTGGTAGACCCAGAGGGCAATTATCCACCCCTTGTTAGAGACAGAAAGTGGGCACCTGCCAATGCTGGACTCAAAAGTGACCTCCACCCCTGTACTAGACCTCGTTCTGTGACGAATGAACCAAGGCAGTTTTTCTATCTTTGATGATGTTTTTTGCACGTTATGTTATTCACACTGAGTTCTCAGCTTTTTGTGTTTGAGCAATGTAGTCATGATCAGGCAGTCATGTTTCAAGATCTGGAAAACTCGAAAGAAATATATTCTCCTCACGACGTTAATAGGTTTCACTTGCCACAGAGGCAGGGAGCCAAAATTTCCAGTTGTGAGTTCAACGGTCTCCTCTTTCCTTCTGCAGGTCACACCGACCTGACCTTAGAATCGGGAAAAAAGGGACAGTGAGATCGATAGCCCCGGAGACGGGTCGGTAGTGGGCGGGGCTCCAATCAACCTGACAATACCAGAGTTCTACCAGTTCACATCATCACGTATTCAATGGTAGTTGATAATACAATACGTTTGTACGTCTCGGCAATATGCGGGGATACCAGATGTCACAGTGGGTGTCAGGTTGGGGTGGGGGTAGAGGTGGGGGGTGGTAAGGGCGCGATATCTCAGTGGGTGCTGTAGGGTGTGGGGGTGTGGGGTGGTGGGGGTGGTCGGGGTGGGGTGGATGTGTGGGACTGTGGGGCACTGTACCTGTCGAGATGTCCAAGTGGGTGTCGGTAACACTGTGCCTGTCAAGATGTCCCAGTGAGTGTCGGTAACAGTGTGCCTGTCAAGATGTCTCAGTGGGTGTTGGTAACACTGTGCCTGTCAAGATGTCCCAGTGGGTGTCGGTAACACTGTGCCTGTCAAGATGTCCAAGTGGGTGTCGGTAACACTGTGCCTGTCAAGATGTCCCAGTGGGTGTCGGTAGCACTGTGCCTGTCAAGATGTCCCAGTGGGTGTCGGTAACACTGTGCCTGTCAAGATGTCCAAGTGGGTGTCGGTAACACTGTGCCTGTCAAGATGTCCCAGTGGGTGTCGGTAACACTGTGCCTGTCAAGATGTCCCAGTGGGTGTCGGTAACACTGTGCCTGTCAAGATGTCCCAGTGGATGTCGGAAGCACTGTGCCTGTCAAGATGTCCCAGTGGGTGTTGGTAACACTGTGCCTGTCAAGATGTCCAAGTGGGTGTCGGTAACACTGTGCCTGTCAAGATGTCCCAGTGGGTGTCGGTAACACTGTGCCTGTCAAGACGTCCCAGTGGGTGTCGGAAGCACTGTGCCTGTCAAGATGTCCCAGTGGGTGTCGGTAACACTGTGCCTGTCAAGATGTCCAAGTGGGTGTCGGTAACACTGTGCCTGTCAAGATGTCCCAGTGGATGTCGGTAACACTGTGCCTGTCAAGATGTCCAAGTTGGTGTCGGTAACACTGTGCCTGTCAAGATGTCCCAGTGGGTGTCGGTAACACTGTGCCTGTCAAGATGTCCCAGTGGGTGTCGGTAACACTGTGCCTGTCAAGATGTCCCAGTGGGTGTCGGAAGCACTGTGCCTGTCAAGATGTCCCAGTGGGTGTCGGTAACACTGTGCCTGTCAAGATGTCCAAGTGGGTGTCGGTAACACTGTGCCTGTCAAGATGTCCCAGTGGGTGTCGGTAACACTGTGCCTGTCAAGATGTCCCAGTGGGTGTTGGTAACACTGTGCCTGTCAAGATGTCCAAGTGGGTGTCGGTAACACTGTGCCTGTCAAGATGTCCCAGTGGGTGTCGGTAACACTGTGCCTGTCAAGACGTCCCAGTGGGTGTCGGAAGCACTGTGCCTGTCAAGATGTCCCAGTGGGTGTCGGTAACACTGTGCCTGTCAAGATGTCCAAGTGGGTGTCGGTAACACTGTGCCTGTCAAGATGTCCCAGTGGATGTCGGTAACACTGTGCCTGTCAAGATGTCCAAGTTGGTGTCGGTAACACTGTGCCTGTCAAGATGTCCCAGTGGGTGTCGGTAACACTGTGCCTGTCAAGATGTCCCAGTGGGTGTCGGTAACACTGTGCCTGTCAAGATGTCCCAGTGGGTGTCGGAAGCACTGTGCCTGTCAAGATGTCCCAGTGGGTGTCGGTAACACTGTGCCTGTCAAGATGTCCAAGTGGGTGTCGGTAACACTGTGCCTGTCAAGATGTCCCAGTGGGTGTCGGTAACACTGTGCCTGTCAAGATGTCCAAGTGGGTGTCGGTAACACTGTGCCTGTCAAGATGTCCCAGTGGGTGTCGGTAACACTGTGCCTGTCAAGATGTCCAAGTGGGTGTCGGTAACACTGTGCCTGTCAAGATGTCCCAGTGGGTGTCGGAAGCACTGTGCCTGTCAAGATGTCCCAGTGGGTGTCGGTAACACTGTGCCTGTCAAGATGTCCAAGTGGGTGTCGGTAACACTGTGCCTGTCAAGATGTCCCAGTGGGTGTCGGTAACACTGTGTAAGTGAAGTTCCAATGAAGCAAGAACTGAATTTACGGATTCCCTTATTCAGCTCAGTAAAGAATGAACCTCTCTCTGAAAGACCATTAACTTTTTGAATTGGCTAGATTAAATAAAATGTTGAACGAAATTGAATTTGGAGAGACGAGGTTTACTTTTGAAACCGGATTAAATGTTGAATTTAAAAAAAATCAATGTCGAATTAACTTTGCTGACATCCCCTGGACTTGTTAGACCTGTCAATAGCGCGGATATGCGTCATGTAGTCCAAGTCCAAATGCGGTTACATTCATCTAAATCTCGCCATAATCAACACCTCCAACTTCTCAAATTAAATTTTCCGGGGAAACAGAATCGATAAAATGTCTGCAGTTAACTGACAAGGTTTATCAAATATAGTATTCCTTGACACTGAGAGGGCACGAAACCAATACAGCATTTCTTGAGGGGAGACAGGATCAGTGCAGTATTATCTTGGAGAGCACAGGGCCAATAAACTTTTGGTTGGGAAGATACAGGACCAACATAATTGTCCTTGGGAAGGTACAAGACCCAAATACTACTACATTGGAGGGTACATGACCAACACAACATTGCATTGGAGGGTGCACGACCAACACACTATTGCATTGGGGGGTACACGACCAACACACTATTGCATTGGAGGGTACATGGCAGACACACTATTGCATTGGAGGGTACACGACCAACACACTATTGCATTGGAGGGTACACGACCAACACACTTTTGCATTGGAGGGTACATGACAGACACACTATTGCATTGGAGGGTACACGACCAACACACTATTGCATTGGGGGGTACACGACCAACACACTATTGCATTGGAGGGTACATGACAGACACACTATTGCATTGGAGGGTACACGACCAACACACTATTGCATTGGAGGGTACACCACCAACACACTTTTGCATTGGATGGTACACGACCAACACATTATTGCATTGGAGGGTACATGACCAACACACTATTGCATTGGAGGGTACATGACAGACACACTATTGCATTGGAGGGTACATGACAGACACACTATTGCATTGGAGGGTACACGACCAACACACTATTGCATTGGAGGGTACACGACCAACACAATATTGCATTGGAGGGTACACCACCAACACACTTTTGCATTGGATGGTACATGACCAACACATTATTGCATTGGAGGGTACACGACCAACACACTATTGCATTGGAGGGTACACGACCAACACACTATTGCATTGGAGGGTACACGACCAACACACTATTGAATTGGAGGGTACACGACCAACACACTATTGCATTGGAGGGTACACCACCAACACACTTTTGCATTGGAGGGTACACGATCAACACACTATTGCACTGGAGGGTACACGACCAACAAACTATTGCATTGGAGGGTACACGACCAACATACTGTTGCTTTTACTGCGTGTACAGGACCAACACAATATTGCATTGGAGGGTACACGACCAACACACTTTTGCATTGGAGGGTACACCACCAACACACTTTTGCATTGGATGGTACACGACCAACAAACTATTGCATTGGAGGGTACACGACCAACACACTGTTGCTTTTACTGCGTGTACAGGACCAACACAATATTGCATTGGAGGGTACATGACCAACACACTATTGCATTGGAGGGTACACGGCCAACACACTGCGGGTACAGGACCAACACACTTTTGCTTTTACTGCGGGTACAGGACCAACATAGCATTCCCTGAGATAGGGTGGGTCGGGCTGTAGCCAGACCGGGGAAGTAGTTATTGGCTGGGGGTGGTGGTGAAAAGTTGACATGCCCCCTCATCTCCTCATCCCTAGATAATAGAGTCCTCTTCCTCAGAAATTTGGTCTTGACCGACTCCTGTCAAACAGGTGCATGGATTACTTCATTAATGACATACTTACCTCAGCACAAATATATCTGTTTGACAAAGGGATTTCGTTTTTAAAACTGACTGTTGTACGCATCATTTGGTAGGCTTGGACATATCCTAATCACTGACCTAATCACTACCCCGGAGCAATATAATAATAACACATATCACAGAATAAAATAAAACAAACTACAAAAAATTAATCACAAGTAAAGAAATATTTT